CCCAAAACCCCAAAACCCCAAAACCCCAAAACCCCAAAACCCCGGGTCGGTATATTGGCATTGAATTTGTTTAAAGTTGATAGATTGATTTTTATCAAATTAACCTAAATCTAAAATATGACCAAGACCATATTTCTCAAAGATCGAACGCATAAAATATTCCGACAAGGTATCTTCAAATCATACTTGTTTGAGGGACTCTTTAAGGTCACAACCTGAAATTCCGTTTATCAAATTTTCCAGCTTTTCTGGGTATTTTCTCCACTCATTAGGCTCAATCCCAAAACCAAATCGTCTTAATGAGGGTTCCTTTCATTCATGTGCTCAAGTCAGGCACTCTTGGAATATCAAATCTGCACCATGCAAAGTCTACTTCCTCATGGTGTCTACACCCCATGAGGAACTTTTTAAATTGGGTTTCATTGAAGTTAAACCCCACAATAGAGACTCTCTTCTGAACACGAGTACATGTCTTAATAATTTGTGGCAAATAAAGACCAATCTCCGTTGGTTCCAAGGCTGCAAGTCTCAGATTATCCAAACTGCTACAAGTCGAGAGATGGGCCACACATTTATGGAATGGCTTCAAGGATTTAGGATCTGTTATTACAAGGACACCTTCAAAGCAAGGCAGAGTGACCTTTCGCACCTTTTTGGAGTAGACACAGCCTTTGTGATTGCTATGATCAAACTTTAGTGAAAGACCTGGGTATTGGGGCAAATAATACCAAACCCTAGCATTATGGACACGGGCATTTTCAGATGAATCGTGATATATTTTCTGACTGAGTACATTACAGCTCAACTTGTAAAGAGTCTCGAAAGTGAGAACTAAGTTTAAACTGGCAGCTTCTTGTCTTCTTTCAAGAGATGTGGAAGGAATGTTTTGGGGGCTTTTGATCGCTATTTTTGGATTACTGTGTTTGGAGTTGAGAAATTATGAGACAACTTGAAATGGGACAGAGTAAATAAAATTCGTGTTTTATTCAACAAAATTATGGAATAGGTTCTTTTCCGATATTGTAGAAGGATACTCTTTTAAATACAAATAATATAAAACATTTTCATATTTTTATAGTGAAATTCTAAATATAACCAATAAGAATAAATCAGTCAGGCTCTAACATCGGTGGATCAGAATAAATGTTAGATATTATATGAAGAACAAGCAAAAGAAGAAGCATAAAAGAATTCAGAATACATTACATGGTTGCCAAAATTTGGAAAAGTCAAAAGATTAATAGCTCTAAAATTTTGAAGGCTAAAATCTTTAGAATCTTACCCAGTCGAGTTCCCTGCTCACTATCCATTTCCTTATGGCCCTCTTTTAGAGTAACCTCCTTTGCTTGCTGATTCTCAGTAACTTCGTTATAAGGCTTAGTTCCTGTTCTAGTGCATCGACTTGTGATCACAGATGGTTGAACGCATTCATAACTCTTGCTTCTTCCTTATGTTCTCACCTATACTGTGTCCAGAACTGGCTGTTTTTAAATGCAGAAGCAATTTGTGAAATTAGCTTAGAGATTTGGTGCAGGCTGAGAGGATAGGAATCAGAATGACATGACTGGTACTCCTTGAGAATGATCTGTCACCTTCTCGCAGTCGTATATAACTCCTGTATTGTTTTCTTTCACTGGTCATTGAGGTCACAATCATTGAACAATTGATATTTGGAAGCTAAGTCTTTTTCAAAATTCTTATCTTTATTAAATTTGTTCTTAGGGTCACTCTTTTGATGTGGAGGTGCTTCCAATTCTACTTCTGCTGACTTTTTAGTGCAATTTCAACTTCCCATGTTTAATTTAATTATTTGGTTTCTTTATTAATCGCCTCATGCGGGGTTTTGGGGTTTTGGGGTTTTGGGGTTTTGGGG